CCGTCGACCCGCTCGCGGCTCCTCGTCACCCTTCGCGGCGGCCCTGTCGACCCGCGCGCCTCCCCGAGGGACCCGTGCACCCGTCCTCGTCGACCCGCGCGTCGCCCTGCGGCCCCCCTCGCCGCACACCTGAGTTCGTTTACTGCACATCCGAGTTCGCTTCCCGCACGCTTGTGCACGCTTCACGCGCACCTGCGCTCGCTTACCGCACACTCAGGGTATGGGGGTGACGGGTATGGGGGTGATGGTTGTGGGGGTGTCGGTTGTGCGTGCCGTCCCCTTCTCCTCCTCCTCCTTCGTCTCCCACTGCTGCAGCTGTCGCTGAGGGAGGTGGATGTGTGGGAGTCTGGGGTTTAGGGTTTAAGAGGGGTGCGTGTGAGTGGAGCTAGCGGTGTAGCAGCGGGTGCGTGCCAGGGGAAGTGGGATAGTGTGGGGAAGCTGTATGGAGGTTGCCGTCGTGTCGCCAGCAGCACCTGTATTTCGGGGAGTTGCTCCGGTAGCCCAGTCGTAGCCAGCTGTGCCAGCCGCCCGTGGGTCCGTTGCTCGTCTGCCGCTACTTTAGCCGCGGGGCCAGTTACTCCAGTATTGCGGGGCGTTGTTCCGGTAGCCGCTGTGCCAGTGTGCCTCCTGTTGCCCGTGTGTCTGCAGCTTCAGCCGTTGCCTCCTATCTCCTCTCCCCTCACTCTCTCTCCTCCTCCTCACTTGCCCGTTGTGACTACCACTAGCTTTGCTCATTATTGTGAACCTTAAACTATTGCTTCTTGAACTTGTGCTCAGAATGTGTGGTGACATTGTGATCCACCCTGAGCTTGTACTGCTTTGCTTGCTCTGCTAATTACACCCCAGTTTGGCTATGGGGGTGTGTCAGAATGTTATCTCATGCTCTAGCCTGTAGTAGGGTGCTCTATAGCGAGTACAACCCTTCTAGGGTTTGCTATTTGTATCCCCATTCTTGCTAGTGCAACCCTCTTCTCTCTTCTAACTTTCACACAACACGAGAGATATTCCGGAGGAGACTCTCGCACGCTTCGAGAAGGACATGAAGCGAACCATGGCAGGGTTTGTTGCACTGGTTATCAACGAGGACGAAGGAGAGATGAAGATGCTTGAGCTTCCACCAGAAATCCAGAAATTTCTAGAGGAGTTTGAAGCTTACACATGTGCATCCACTACCGAGCCCTAAAAAAGCAGGCGATCTAGAACAAGTATCCGATTCCACGGATTGACGATCTACTTGACCAGCTTTGGGGAGCCACGGTATTCTCATAACTTGATCTGGGATTGGGATTTTGGCAGATCCGGATGGCGGATAACTCCATCCATAAGACGGCGTTTCAGACACGATACGGATCCTAAGAGTACCTCGTTATGCCGTTCGGATTCACCAACGCACCCGCTACATTCTAGGCCGAAATGAACCATATCCTCAGGCCTCTACTCGACGAATGCGTGGTGGTGTACCTGGACGATATCCTGATCTACTCGAGGGACATGAAGCAGCACATCAAACACCTACGACAAGTCTTCGAGATACTTCGACGGGAGAAATTCTACGTCAAATTATCTAAGAGCGAGTTCAGTTTCTTGGACACATGGTGAGCGCTCAACGGTGTACATGTGGGCCTGAAGAAGATCGAAGCCATACTTGCGTGGAAGATGCCTAACAACTTGAAGGAACTTCAACAATTCCTTGGCTTCGCGAACAATTACAATCGGTTCGTGCCACAGTATGCAAAGATTGCAACACCTCTCACCAATCTAGTGAAGAAAAATACACCGTTCAAGTGGGAGGGTATGCATCAGCAAGCCATGGAGCAGTTGAAGACCGCACCCGTCCTGATCTTGCCAGATCCAGAAAAAAACTACGCCGTCAAAGCTGACGCTAGCGACCAAGCAGTTGGAGCAGTCTTGATGCAAGACCAAGGGAAAGGGTTACAACCAATCGCTTATCTCAGCAAAAAATTGCACGGGGCAGAACTCAACTACCCAATTCACGTCAAAAAGGCCTTAGCGGTCATCACCTTATTCAAGACATGGCGATGCTACCTCGAAGGGAGAAAGACCACGGTCTATACTGACCATTGCAGCCTGAAGTACCTAAAGACGCAGCCCACCCTCTCCAGGCGACAGGTCAAGTGGATCGACTTCCTCGAGACGCACTTCGACTTCGACATCGTGTACAAGCCGGGACACAAGAATAAGGCAGACGCACTGAGCCGACGTGGACATGTTGCCGCCATACAGATTGAGGGGATGAATTTGCTACTCAAGTGACTCTCCACGCACGGGTATACCATCGACCCCAAGATTCCCTTGGCAGAGAAGTAGAAATTGTTGCAGTGGGACCACGACATCGCACTACGCAAAGGATCAACAAAGATATGGGTACCCAACTACCCGCCTCTTCGGCAGTTGATTCTCAAAGAATTCCATGACGTGCTCTACGCTGGACACTTCGGGAGTAACAAGACTCTTGCTGGGATTGCAAAAGTATACTACTGGCCTCACATGGCGGAAGACGTGCAGAAGTTTGTCACTTTGTGCGACACATGCCAGCGGATGAAGAGCAGTAAGCAGAAGAAAGCAGGACTTCTTCAGCCTCTACCCGTCCTGGAACAGCCTTGGCAAGTGGTCAGCTTGGATTTCATCATCGGGTTACCACCTACCAACGCGGGGCATGACGCCATCATGGTCGTCGTCGATAGATTCTCAAAGATGGGACACTTCATTCCGACACATACAACCGCAGGCACTGAGGAAACGGCACAGCTATTCATCAAGCACATCATCAAACAGCACGGGATCCCAACAACCCTTATATCTCGACAACCCTGGAGTTCCTCATATGCTGGAAGGGCTATGATCCTTCTAAGGATAGCTGGGTCTTTGAAGAAGACATGAGTAACGCACGACGTTCTCTCCGCGACTATCTTGTCAAGCAGGGTGTTACATCTACCACCTAGCCTCGAGGGGGGGAAGTGTGAGAGTACGCCGACGTTCGACATATTTCTCATTTCCATATTGTTACTATTCTCCTTATCTTCCTCTTTCATTTGCACTTTATTTCACATCAATCGGACTACTATTCTATTTTCTAGAGCTTTCCGATTGTTTCACTTATTCTGTATTTTTGGCACCGACGTTTACATTATACAAGGCGTAATCTTGCCATAATCCAATGTACCAATGGGCTTGCGTGCTTATGCGCACTCGTGATTATCTATTGTAGAAGAGCGCGTTCCCGAAGGTTCGGATTATCCGTTGTTTCTATGTATTTCTGAGTATAAATACGCCTTGTACTCACCTTTAGTGCAACATTCTCGAGTGGAAATTCGATCCTGTGACAGCGACAGCTCGCATCTGCCGCGTCATCATAGGTGAGAAAGTCCGTCCTGTGGGTTGGGGTTTGGTTTGGGTTCTCCTTTGGGGGAGAGTGGGGGGGATCACTTGTGTTTTAGGATGGGGTTCTTCAGGCTCAGCTGTTGGCTCCACACTCTTGACCACGGGGAGCTCTACTGCACTCTCCTCCTCGTGTGCCATTGCAATCTCCTCACCAGCCCACTCCTCTGCCAATGGTGAGAAAGAACTTCTCACCACGCTCCCCTAGCACCAGTAGCGGCCCACCACATCCATATGCACTAGCTCCAGCAGTTTCTTGTCACCACCTACCGCTGGATGGAGTAGGAACCGAGTGAACTTGCTCAGAAGGCAAGTTACACACTTGTGGGTTGCTTCTGCAACTACTAGTTTCAGCCCCTTAACCCCTTCCTCCTTGTGCAGTTGCTGCAGTGCGGGCATAGCAATGTGCTCGAGGCAATGGTGGGCTGTAGTCCAGTCCATTGCACCTCCCCTTGCTAAAACCTTCATCTCCTCAGAACCTACAGCGTTGCACCCCCCCTGAGCATCACTCCCTTTGCCCCAAGGCACCACCAGCAGCTGCCACATAGACCTACAGATGTCCCTGGGTCACGTGCTTGTGAACAGCTGAGATGCACATTACGCTGGGCGAGTTGGAGGCATGTCCCTTCGAGCTTCGGAACGCCTTCAAACTGAAGCCTTTCGCCCGGTACTTGCTAGATATGGGCTCGTATGTCTATGCATGTATTCTTCTGTTGTCTGTGCGTGCGCGTGCATGAGCAGCATATCGGCACTCGACCTACGAGGTGCACAACAAGCTGGGCGAGGTGGAGGAGGTGATAGGCACGTACAGTGTCGCTATGTAGCAGCGCAGCAGCAACACAGAGGCTATCATGTGGCGCTCCATCGCGGCCCACCTCATGGCCAACCACCCTGTTTTCTTCCACGCGCTGCACCCCACCGCCACAGCAGACAGAGACGGGTTTCAGGTGCGTGGATGGGTGGTGATGGCGGGGCGCAGGTGGAACCATATGTGGCACTCAATGATGCAAGGATGGGAGCGGTTGCAAATCACCTCTGTCTGGGATGACCTGGTTGTCGTTTAAGTCTCTCTTCCGTCAATTTCTCTTTCCATGAAACAAAGCCTCCCACTTGTGGCCTTCATCACCGTTCTATTCTGCTCGTGTGGCAACAATTGCCTCAAAATCGCCATGAAGTCCTTCGGTTTGACTGCCGACTCTTGATCTGGGTATGGCTATAGGTGAGACAAGCGGACATGTCAAAACATAAAACATCCCCTGGGGGTTCCTTTCCTTCCCACCTCTGCTCGTTTCTTTGGACCCCTTGCGGTTCTTTCACCGGCAAGTGGGTCAGAGCAACTGGATCCGATGGAAGCGAGGCCTTTCAACCTCAAGGGGAGGGATGGGAGAGAGAGGGGGAAGAGGGGCAGGAGGGGCAGGAGGAGCAGTGCTGGGTGTGGAAGACGAGCTCTCACATGCATTTGATGACTTGAGCGTTCACAACAGCAGGCGAGGCCCACACACTGATGAACCCGTGGTGGTGCTGACAGCTAGAGAAACCAAGGCAGCGGGGGGAACGAAGGTATCAGGGGGAATGAAGGCAGTAGACAGGCGCACGGGAGCATGGGGGAAGATGAGGAGGAGGAGGCGGAGGAGGAGGAGGAGGAGGAGGAGGAGGAGGAGGAGGAGGAGGAGGAGGAGGAGGAGTGGGTGGGAGTGGAGGTGGATGAGGCGAGTGACCGCAGGGGGAGCCGCTGGGATTGGCGGACCCGTGGGCAACGAGCGGGCGGGAGAGGAGGAAGCTGGTGGAGGTGTGGGTGGGGGAGGTGCGCGCCACCGCTGCTGCTGCCATCGAGGCTGAGGTGGACAAGTATGCCAGGTATGGCCCGTGCTGGTGTGGTGTGAATTGCGGTGCTGGCGGTGTGAAGGGCGCTCTGGTGGTGGTGATCGCATTGGCACGCCTGTTTTGATGAATGTGGGTTCCGGATGGAGGCGGTGCGCGCCACTGCCACCGCCACCGCCACTGTTGTTATCAAGGCAGAGGTTGAGAATCACTCGAAGAGTGTGTGCTGGTGGCGGTGATGCTGGCGGTGGTGCTCGTGTTGAATGTAGGTGGTAGAGGTGGGCGGACGAGGTGGTATGTGCGCGCGTGTGTGTGTTTATGGCACGTGCAAGCTTGCAGGAAGGTGGGGGATTGCAGCGAGATGAAGCAGGTGGAGAACGTGCACGTTTCAAAAATGGCATCAAGGCAATGTTCTGGCTCGGTCACGTGTGTTCCCTGGTTTGCATGTGGCTTGCACGTGCATGGGAGTAAACGTGAAGGAAGGTGAGGGAGCGCAGCGAGCTACAGCAGGTGGAGGATCTGCAGGTGCTGAGGAGGGCGCAGGTTGTGGGCATGACCACGTCCGGGGTGGCCAAGATGCAGCGCCTCATCTCAACGCTCAGCCCGTGCATGATCATTGTGGAGGAGGCCGCTGAGGTGCTGGAGGCGCACATCCTCACGTCGCTCACCCCACAGACCCAGCACGTCATTCTCATAGGTATACCATGGGCTGTTGGGGTTGGAGTTGTATGCCAGGAGGCTGCTGAGGTGTGGAAAGCCCACACCCTCGCCTCCGTCATCCCGCACATCGAGCAAGGTATTCTCATAGGTATGCCTTGGGCTGCTGGTGTGGTCAATTGTGGTCATAGTTGTGGTTGCACGGCCTCTTCCCTTGGTAGCAGTGTGCTCGTAGCAACACGCCTCCACCTGCAGCTGAGTCCAAAGGTGGAGGTGTGTGAGCTAAGGACGGGGCTTATGGTTACATTCTCTTCTAAATCTTTGTGTGGAAATGGATGACATGCCACCACAGGCAGCTGCGTCCCAAGCTAAGGGTGACCGTGAAACAGCTATGCAAAGACTTCCTTGTTGGTCGCCCCAACTATTCATGAATTCCCCGTCCCGTTGCCTCTACTGATCTCCACTGAAACACGGTAGGTGCACGACCTCATCAAGGATTCAAACTGGGGCTTCGACCTGGACGTCTCTCTCTTTGAGTGCCTCGCGCTCTCCAAGCGCATCCCCGTGTACACGCTCGCCACCCAGCGCCACATGCGTTCGGAAATCGTGGATCTGATTTGCCACAGCGTCTACCCTGACCTGCGGGACCACCCGTTCCTGCAAGGGTATGTAGCATGCATGCGGAGGTGCTGCTGATGTATGTGTTGTCACTACAACTCCCACGTCACTGATATGATCAGATTGATTCGCCTCACCGTCTACTCCATCTGCTACACCGTCTGCCAACTGAGGGACCTTATGCCCCTTGCTGCAATGTAGCGTAATTCCTCTTTCCTCACAGCAGCACGTGCGTGGCACGGTGCTTCCTCCACCCACATTCATACAAACATTAGTCCATGCATCCATCCCTCCTACCCCTCACCCAGGTACCCGGACATGCGGGGAATGGCGATGAATCTGCACTTCTGGGACCACGACAGCCCTGAGAGCAGCTGGGACAACTTGGGGGGAGGCAAGTCAAAGTCGAACACGGGCGAGGCAGCCATGGTGGTGGGGCTGGCCACGTACCTGCAGCAGCAGGGGTACACGGGAGGGGAGATCACCATCCTCACGCCCTATGTGGGTCAGCTGCTCAAGCTGCGCCAGGCGCTTCCTCATGTGGTAGATGTGCGCCTGGGGGAGGGCGATGCCGAGGAGGTAGAGAAGGCAGCGGAGCAGGCGGGTACCCGGGGAGGTGGAGCTGGCGGGGGAGACTGGGGATCCTGGGGTGGCTGCGCCGAATCCGAAGAATGCAGTGCGGCTGGCTACTATTGACAAGTATGTTTGGCCAGTGGAAAGGAGAAAGCTTCTGTTTGGCTTGGTCAATCAGAATATTGATAGTCTGGTTATCATCTAGCCTGCTCATCTTATAGCGCGTGGTTTGTTGCGTGTGGTTCGGGCAGAGAATGAATGAGTGAGAATGATTTTCCGCTCATTTCTGTTGATGAGTGTGCAGCTTCCAGGGCGAGGAGAGCACGGTGATCATCATCTCACTCGTGTGCCACAAGCCAGACGGTGACATCGGGTTCCTCAAGAGCCCCAACCGCGCCAACGTGTTGCTCTCCCGCGCCAAGCACGGCATGTACATCATCGGTAAGTGCACAGCATGTACATCATCGGTAAGTGCACGGCATGTACATCATCGGTAAGTACACGGCATGTACATCATCGGTAAGTGCACGGCATATACATCATCGGTAAGTGCACGGCATGCACATCATCAATAAGTGCACGGCATGCGTTGTGGCTGCAAATCACCATGAGGGCAGCGTTTTCCAAGAAGAGATAGACATGGTGCCGAGCAGGGAAAATTAGATCTCTTCATAATGCAGCACTCGGCGCGGGTTGTTCACATACGCTGACATGGTGATACACATTCACTGCGCAAACTTACAATCTACTTCCTTGCTTGTCCCTTTTTCCGGTGTATCCACTATCCGAGAGCAGGCGGCGCCAGCAGCATGCGGGCAGCCACCTCCAGGTCCTCCCTGTGGCCGCGCATCATGGGCATGCTGGACAGCATGGGGCGCGTTGAGAGGTTCATCCTGCTGCGCTGTGCAAGCCACCCTGACATGGTGACACACATCCACAGCGCGGGCAAGTTCAAGGAGAAGGCCAGCGAGGGCGGGTGCTCTCAGATGTGTAACTTTCGACTCACTCCCTGCGGCCACACCTGCCCCCACAGGTCAGAATCAAGCCATGAGCTCTAATCCCTTGTCTTTGTATTAGCATCACTATTTTCATTGCTCTTCAGTTCCCTTTGCCCTTGTGTTGCATCCTCTCTTCGTATTGTTAAGATTAGTTTTCCCTATCTTTGCCCTCTAAGGGGAAGCAAATGCTGCAAAGGTTCTTGTCAGCCTTTCTTAGCCCAAACAGTCGCCATGCCGATGACACGACACACAGTGATGTGGTCTGCCCCAGCAAGAGCAACAGACGGAATCTGGCTTCTGAAGGAGTGACCAGGCCACACCAGTACAAGTGTTGTACAAGAATCACAGCAAACCACTCTGACGTTAATCCTCACCCACAGGTGTCATACGGACGACAAGGCACACGCCACCACGTTCTGTGCCAAGGAGTGCAACCGCATCCGCCCGCTGGACGAGTGCTCACACCAGCACACGTGCCCTAAGCATTGTGGCGAGCCCTGTGGGCCGTGCATGGTCACCATCCGGGAGGTGACACTCCCCTGCGGCTAGGGAAGAGCAAAAAAACGAACACTTGTTCGGTTCACCTCGAACGTCCCCTTCTTCAGGGCGCAGAAGCGCTCTTCGATCTTCTCCTGGTGGGTTCAGCTTCCGCACCTGCATGGGTTCGTTCGCACAAGGCAAGCTATATGCCAGTTTTTCTCTTTTCACACCCTTTCCTGTCTCATATCCGTGCCTTCCTTCCTCTCACCTTTCTGTGCCTGTCTTTTGCCCTTGCATACTGGCCGCCCTTTGCCTGACTCCTGTCATAGACTGTTCCGTGCTGTTTCCTTCTCCCCACCCGTTCCTTCTCCCTACACGTGCCTTCTCCCTACCCGTGCCTTCTCCCAACCCGTCCCTTCTCCCTACCCGTGCCTTCTCCCTACCCGTGCCTTCTCTCTACCCGTGCCTTCTCCTACCGATGCCTTCTCCCTACCCGTGCCTTCTCCTTACCCATGCCTTCTCCCTACCCGTGCCTTCTCCCTACCCGTGCCTTCTGAAGAAAATGGATCGGTGAACTTAGGGCACGATAGGAAGAAGAAATATCCTTAGCAAGAAAATGGTACTAGTCTTAAAGACTAGAGCAAGGTCCTTGTCCAAAAATGATTCATAGTGAAGTGGGAAGCCACATATATGTGGCTGAAATCTTGAGGCTAGCTGCAGCACCTCAATGCTGAGGGCAAGGCTAGCCAACCTTGCCAAGCTAGCAAGTGAGGCCTCATGTTGCACATGTGGGCCAAGCTGGAACAACAGCCGACATAACAGCATATGGCACACTATAGAGGCCAGCAAGGTGAGTGTGGGATTAGTGGACAGGTGGCAATGCCAACTGTGACCACACTTCACTGTGGTGGAGTGTGGTGGAGTGTGGACATGTAATGTGGAGAATAAGGAGAAGGGAAGGTGCAGCTGCTGAGAATTGAACCCACGACCTCTCAGATCAAGGTGGGAATCTACCCTCTGGGACATACTTGCTGCACAACACCCTCCCTCAAGGATGTCCCTGGAGTAGGGTCCTTCAAGCGGAGACATGGGTGAGACTGAGAAGACCACGGATGCGAAGAAAAGGGTCTTGAGTAGGAACATAGTGAAGGGTGACGGAGTGGTCGGCAAGATGATCACGAATGAAATGGTGCTTCATGAAAGATGCCGTCGTCCTTGGCCAGAATGATGGCACTGTTGTTGTCACACGAGATGCGGGTGGGGCTGGTCGGGGGAAGTCTAAGTGCAGTAAGGAAAGATTGAAGCCATAATGCCTCATGCACCGCGGCGCCCAGAGAATAATATTCAGCTTCACATGAAGAGGTAGCGACGATAACTTGACGTTTGGACTGCCAAGAGATAAGTGACGGAACGAGGAAGAACAAGTAGCATGTAACGGAGCGTCGGAGCTCTCCCTCCGGTCCCCAAGAAGCGTCACACCACCCATGAAGTTCAAGGGCGTTGGGAATGCCACCAAGGAGAAGCCCGAGCGAGGTAGCCCCTTTCAAGTAGCGAGCAACGCGTTTGGCAGCCGAGACGCGAGGAAAAGACCAATCATGAAGGTGACGAGCAAGAACTCCAGCACTATATGCGAGGTCGGAATGGGAACCCACCATGGCATACATGATGGATCCGACAAACGAGGTGTAAGGAAAGGAGGAGTGTGGGGAAGAAGTCACGAAAGGCTAAAACTTGGTGTCCATGGGGGTGACAGTAGGGTCAAGTGGAGTAATGAGTAGGTGTCTAAGATGGAGGTGATGAATTTGGATCGATGAAGGTGGAGAGTGCGGGAGGTCCGATCACGAGTGATGTGAAAGCCAAGGTAGTAGGAAAGAGGACCGAGGTCACGAAGCTTGAAGTGAGATGAAAGGGCACACTTGAACGAGGAAAGAAGAGAAGAGGAGGAGGAAAGAATGATGAGGTCGTCAACATAGACGAGAAGCATGAAGAAAGATGCAGCTGTAGGCCGATAAGGAGATTGAGGAGGAGCGATGATGAGGCCGGGGTCCGCACTGGCAGCAAAAGGTGAAAGGCAGCAAGCTCTTCACAAAGTTTGCGGTACCAGCACCGCGGGCGCTTGCTTCAACCCGTGCAATGATTTGTGCAAGACACAAACTTGCTCAACACCATGGACCGCCGGAAGTTCATAACCGGGAGGCTGCATCATGTAGAGAATTTCATCAAGAGTACCATTGAGGAAGGCATTAGAAATGTCCAGCTGATGGACCTCCAGGTCGAAAGCGGCAACAATGGTGAGGAAGAGGCGAAGGGTGGCGAAGCGGACGGTAGGGGCAAAAGTTTCATGAAAATCAACACCGTCACGTTGTTTGAAACCTTTGACAACAAGGCGGGCCTTGCGGCGTTCAATAGAACCATCAGCATGCTCCTTGAACTTGAAAATCCATTTGCATGGAATCGGCTTGCGCATGGGTGGTCGAGGAATAACGCTGTAAGTGTCATTAGCATGCAGGGCAGCGAGTTCCGCATCAGCAGCCTTGATCCATTCAGCAGTACCAGGCCGGTGCGGGCCTCATGAATGGTTTGAGGTTCGTAATGAGGATGAAGGGCGGCAGTAGCAGAGGTCTTGGAAAGAGGAGGAAGGGTGAAGTCAATGGGTTCAGAAGGAGAGGGTAAGACCTTGAGCAGTGAGAAAAGTGAAGTGTCAGAATGTTATCTTATGCTCTAGCCTGTAGTGGAGTGCTCTATAGCGAGTACAACCCTTCTAGGGTTTGCTATTTGTATCCTCATTCTTGCTATTGTAATCCTCTTCTCTCTTCTAACTTTCACATGCTATCAGAGCAGGTCGATCCCCTTGGATCGATCTTGTGGGTGGGTTACCACCTCCTCGCTTCCGCTGCAACACCTACACTACTCTCTGAGCCGCACGCCCCGTGGCGTGCGGCACTTTTTCTTCCCGCCGTGCACCCCGAGGCACGCGGCGGTTTTCGGCCCGCCGTGCGCCCCGAGGCACGCGGCGGTTCTCTTCCCGCTGTGCGCCCCGAGGCGCGCGGCAGGCTTCTGCCCCGTCGTTTGCTGCGTCGCCCTCTGGTGGCGCCGCGACGGGCGACGGGGACCCGCGCGTCGCCCCCTGTCGCCCGTCGTGGCCTGCGCGCGGCCCATTCAGGCAGCGCGCGGCCCATACGGGCTGCGCCAGTCCCGCGCGCGGCCCGTATGGACGGCGCCAGGCCCGCGCGCGGCTCGGGCCGCCTGCGCGCGGCTCGGGCGTCTGCACCAGGCCCGTGGTGGGCCCCTTCCTCGATACCCCTGCACTCCCCGCCGTCCCCCCGTGCTTCTACTGGCGCCCCACTCCTCCTACACCCCATTCTCCTGAATTAGGGTTTGGGGGTGAGGGGTATGGGGGTGCTCTCATGGTGTGCCGTTCCCTGCTCCTCCTCCTCCGTCTCCCTGTGCTGCAGCTGCCGCTGAGGGGGGGTGGAAGTGTTGGAGCTGGTGGAGTGGTACTAAGGGGGGGTGAAGGGGGAGTGGAGCTAGCGGTGTAGCAGCGGGTGTGTGCCAGGGGGAGTGGGATAGTTTGGGGAAGCTGCGTGGAGGTTGCCGTCTTGTCGCCAGCAGCACCTGTAGTCCGGGGAGTTGCTCCGGTAGCCCAGTCGTAGTCAGCTGTGCCAGCCGCCCGTGGGTCCGTTGCTCGTCTGCCGCTACTTTAGCCGCGGGGCCAGTTACTCCAGTATTCCGGAGCGTTGTTCCGGTAGACGCTGTGCCAGCGTGCCTCCTGTTGCCCGTGTGTCTGCAGCTTCAGCCGTCGCCTCCTTTCTCCTCTCCTCTCACTCTCTCTTTTCCTCCTCACGTGCCCGTTGTGACTACCACTAGCTTTGCTCATAGTTGTGAACTTTAAACTATTGCTTCTTGAACTTGTGCTCAGAATGTGTGGTGATATTGTGATCCACCCTGAGCTTGTACTGTTTTGCTTGCTCTGCTGATTACACCCCACTTTGGCTATGGGGGTGTGTCAGAATGTTATCTTATGCTCAAGCCTGTAGTGGGGTGCTCTATAGCGAGTACAACCCTACTAGGGTTTGCTATTTGTATCCTCATTCTTGCTATTGCAATCCTCTTCTCTCTTCTAACTTTCACATGAAGGATTGGAAGGAGCTGAAGGGGATGGTGGTGAAGAAATAGATGTGCAAGGGGGAGGACGAGCTGAAGAAGGAGAGGAGAGGGATGGAAGGCGGAAGTCTTGCGGCTTCGAGGGCAGAGGAAGGTTGGAAAACAAAGGAGGAGGAGGGGAGGTGGCTGGTGCGGGCAGATTTGGAGATGGTGGGAGGAGGGTAGTGGAAGAGGGCATGGGAGGTGAAGGAGAGGGAGGGGAGGTTGGGGCTGAGAGGGAAGGTGGTGGAGGAGGAGGCGGAGAGGATGATATGGGTGGTGGAGATGACGATCGAGGTTCTTGAGGATCATCGGAAGGTGGCGAAGAGGGCTCCATGAAGATGACATCATGAGAAAGCGTGACACGGTGCTAAGATGGGATATAGCTGTAATAAGCTTTGGTGCCGTCAAGATGACCATAGCCAACCATGACGCTGGCCGTGCTTCGGCCGTCGAGCTTAGAGCACCGTTGCGGAGGAATGAGGACTGAAACGGGTGAACCGAAGATGTAGAGGCGTAATATGTCCGGACGTGCACCAGTCCATAGTCTATGGGAGTCTTAGAAGTTGAACCACCCCGACGAATGGCATGATTTTGGAGATAGGCAGCAGTGAGAGCGGGGTCACCCCACCATCCTTTGTCCATGTGTGCCATCTCAAGTATAGTCTGATTGGCACATTCAGCAACTCCATTTTGATCGGGTGTGTACGGCGTAGAGCGGTCGAGCGATGCAATGAGCTTTAAGGAATGAAGTGAAGGCGTCGGAATTGAACTCCAAGGCACCATCGGAGCGAAACACATTGATGGTCCTTGGGGAATGCATATTGTGCACCCGAGTGACGTTATCTTTGAAGCATGAAAATGCCACTGAACGATGACGTATGAGATAGGCACTAATGTGGCGGGAATAGTCGTCGATGAAGGTGAGAAGGTAGCGTGTGCCTCCAATGGTAGTTCCATATGAAAACGGTCCAGCAATATCTGAATGAATAAGTTGGAGCCGTGCTGTGGTGCGAGAATAGGACACGCCAAATGGTTGATGCGTTTTTTTCCCACGATAACACGACATGCATTGGGGAATTGAAGAGGAGGAGAGGTTAAGACCGGTGACCAGCTGCTGCCGATGAAGTGTTGACAGGTCCCGCATGTTAAGATGCCCGAAACGGCGATGCCAAAGGTATGAGGAGGTGGTGGTGGACATGCCGTTAGGTTGATGTGGGGGGCGGCACTGCTCCCATGATGCAGCTGAAGATAAAACAGATTGTTGCGGGTAAAGCCCTCGCCAATATGAGCCTCATAAGTTTTGAGCTCAACCCGCTCTGCAGTGGGGAAGGAAACGGCAACGCCGGCAGCTCCAAGTGCATGAACTGAGAGCAGGTTGTGAACCGATGAAGGGAGAATCAGAACGTTGTCTAGCTGGATGTTAGTTTC